TGAATTTAAACTCAAACCGAAATTAGAAAGGCGTTGAAGCTTCTATCAAGTCCTAATTTGAATATTTAACGTTTTCCCAGAAATTTTAATGAAGCGTAATTAAAACTGAGTATTCTTGAATCAATCAAGAGTCTGCATAAAAAAATTCTTCAGGATTCAAAAAGGGTGATTTTCTTCTAGTGAAACAGTTTATATCGTCAATGTTTATAGTGGTGGAATAATTATTTAAGGTCATTTCAATATTTGGAATCAGGTCGTATAACAGATAAAAACCTGATAGAATAGAATAGAATTTATTCTTGCAATGCATACATGAATAGTATTCGCATACGTCAATGGGATAAATAGTATATAAATTAAAATCAATGTAACACAATACAGTCAAATAAATACAAAACATTGTTGTATGAAAATATATCTATTATTAGACAAACAACAAACTTGTTGATGAGTCGAAATAATTAAAATATTCTTCAAATGTGTAAAAGGCATTCTGTAAAAGAATATTTTTAATTTTAACTTTAAAACTGTTCATACTCATGTCCAAAGTCTGAAACTCATCTGGTAACACGTTAAAAAATTTCAAAGATATTGAATAGCCGATATTCAAATAGCCCTGAATGGGGGCTATTCAAATTCGTTTCTGTACATGAGGATCTTGTAAACGATACGAGATAGAGTGTCGGTTAAATTGTGGTAAAGTTGTGTATATTAGAGACCTATTAAATGATGTAAAGAAATCGAATATAGCTCTTTTCGTTCTGGAGATATACAGGAAAAACCAAAAAATCCCAAATTATATATATCTTCTTTATTCGCAGACATATTGAAAATGAGTCCACATTTTGCTATTGGCACTTGATGTGAGCTCTCAGAATATATTCATGAATTTTTTATACAGGGTGTCATCTGACTTGGGCCACCCCCATCTTTGAATTTTCAAATACGGACCTGTATTTTAGATGGTTGTCGTTCGTAGGGGGCGACAGCTGGTTAACGGAAAAACAGATCCTCATCGGAAATACTTTGAACAAGTGATTATAGTACAGACTCGTAGTAATATGTAATATCTTATTGAAATGTAAATTCATTATTATTTTTTTAAATATCCTCAATTACATAGTTAATATCTTTTACGATTGTCAGCGAAAGATTCGATTCGATTTCCAGAAATATGACTAACAAAAAATTTTTGTTTCACGGTAGTAGACTACTTGCATATTCATATTTTATCTCAAATGCCAATTAAACCCAGGATATTCATTATTACGATGATGACATGTTCAGTCGTTTATTCCAAATAAAAAAATATCTACCATCCAATGCCTCAAAATTTCTAATCGTATGACATCAAAAGTCTGTATATAACGCGCGAAATTATCGTTATTCGCCTTTATTTCACTAGAAAAACATCACTAATCAATTAATAAAGAGCGCTTTTGTTACTATATTTAGTAGAAAAAGGACGAAACTAATAACTGAATTTCTATTATTGTATATTCTCTACAAGTGTAGAAAAATATACGCTTTTACGTCTTACAAATTTTTATAAACTATACCTACTGCTATGTTAAAAATTGAAGTAATTTTCCAGAACAAACGAGTAAAAATTTCACAGATGAAACTCCGAATTACCGCAATAACCTGATATATAATGGGACAGTAAAAAGTTGTGTAATGAGGCAAGACAAATTGGGTAAAACTTACTCCACTTTGTGAATGTTCAGATTCTAGTGGAAGTTATGGAATCAGTTAGTGTACAGAAATTGAACAATTAATTTTAATAAATATTAGCGAAATCAATATCAATACAGTGTGTATTAAGTATATTTGCTCTGTAATGAATGATAGCTAACTCAAGTGCTAACAAAGATATCTCGGACGTTTTGAAGCATTTCAGGTGTGATGTTGCGGCAATTATAATTTGACATAAGTCAACTAAGTATGCCGATTGACCTTTATAGATCGCGACCTTACTAAAAATCGAACGGATTCAAATCTGGTGACCTTGCGAGCCACTCCACTGATCTTCCTCGTCCAATCCTACTACCAGGAAATGTTTCATTTAAATACTCACGAACAGCAAAGGTATAGTGAAATTTTCATTGCAGTGGTCATAATGTTCAAGAATGTCTGTTAATGCGGAATCGACAGTATTTGTGAGATTTCCCAGTAGAAAAAAGTATCAACAACTCGGTCGTCACACTGTGTTACAAACATTAGGCAAAATAAATCTGTGAAATCGACTGATATATTTTTATTCATGTTTTATCCTATTTCTATATGTTGATCCACTTATAAGTTAAGTGGGCTTTAGTTAGATCAGAGTCGAACGTAAGTGTTTAGTGACGTTTGAGGGAAAACTACAATAATATAGTGAAATATAAAGGGGATGTAACGGTATGCTTTCTATTTTTCGCAATGTCTCGACATTGATGTGTTTATTACATAATTGAAATGCATATATTGTGTTACCCGAAAAAATCAGAATTCGAACTGTGGTTAATAAGTTATATCTACACTACTCCGTCTATGTTCTTAATTTAAATTATTACTAGCGATACGACCCGCTTGACACGGGTAGCAGAGAATATATGTCAGTGTGGGATTTGCTTGTAACTAATAATAATTTTAATTTTAAAATAGGTACCTATCTACCTGAAGACAACACAAAACAAAAAGAAGCCCCTGCAACTGGTTTCAGGAATCTTCTATAATAGACCAAGGTGTAGAAGACACCATTTTGTCAGGTCACGATGAACCCCTCGATCTCCGACTCCATCCTAATTGACCTGAGGAATGTGGAGATCAGCTCCTTGGATAAGCCCATGTACATACTAATTTTTAACAATATCTGAACCTCACCGAAAAAAAAACTGAAAAAATGTTTTAACCCATCAATTGAATTTACTACCTAATCAAAAAGTAAACAACACCTGACAAACATCCATTACCACGAAGTGTGCATATATCATAAAAACCTCATTAACATATACTTTTTTCAACTCTTTTAGACCTAGAGAAAGTAAAACTCGTTGATGTGCTGTACTTTCATTTACCTACGTCACATCTAATCAAACTGAACGAAAAGTGGTCGAATCTGATTTCAATACCTTCTAAATAACAACAATATGTAATTCCGGAAAGACTTATTCAATAATTAATTATGAAATCTATCACACTCATCAACCTACAGGCAACAAAAACGAAATAGTCGACTGAATGTATGCAACCAGTTAAACAATAGTGTGTTAATTATGTTATCTATATCTTTACATAAATCCTATACTGATATTTAATGAGTTACTTGTGTATTCTCGTTGATCTCTCGGAAATGAAAACCGTTCCCAATCCATGATATAACTCTTTCAAAATTATTTTGCAATATTTTATAATAATTGATCTCCCGTCAAAAGAGAATATGGAAAATTTCAATTTTTGAAAAATCATCAATTGCAACACCACATGAAAACCTGTTTCATAATTTTCTTTGAAAATATATTCATATACTTACGTTTCCCTAAAATACCTGTAATAATAATAATGTTCAATATGTGTCGATTATATTATCTACTTGTTTACGGGTTGATAGTGGCTGACGGGAATAGTCGTGATACGTCACTCTCTAGGTGGCTCGAGTAGTTGTTAACATGTCCTATACAGAACATAAAAATTTGGCGTCCTTGATATAAAAAAATAATACACAGAACGTTTCAGTGATTCTTTAGTGAATCGAAATAAAAAAATAAGTGAATGAGAGTAATAATCATCGAAAAAAATCGCTCAACTGAATTTACTGATGTTAGATCTACTATCAAACTGACCCATTCAAAATTTTCATGATACATTTACGATATTGCATTATTTTTAACGGAACGATTGATATTTTCCATAATTATTCTGGAAATCTTGAATATAAAAATATTAAGTTGTGAATAAATGGAGTTCGATATATGAAGTAATACATTTCAGGCAATATATTCAAATATATTTTTTTGGTAAACCCTGTATATAATTAGTTTGCGAAAGTCCTTGCTTTCAAACCTAAGTGTCTGAGACTACGCTAGCGGTGTCACTAAACCGAAACACATCTTCAATACAGTTCTTCGTAATGCCAGTGCAAAGGTGATGACATGTGTTAATTATGCTTCTGAAGATTGATACATTATTCAATTCTAGAATCGCTCACACATAGGAAGAAGCATATAACATAAACATAAATCCGATTGCATGAAACAAATCGAACATAAATACAAGAGGAAAGGTTTATCGTCCGTTATATAAATATAAAAGGGTAGATTTTTGGTATGCAGACATAAATGAATGAAAAACAACTCAAAAAATGTGAGCCGACCGGGATTCGAACCGGCCGGCCGTTATTTTGCTTGGCCGATAGCTTATCAGATACCAAAATGTCGGCAATGTTTTGAAGATAACCTTTATTATTACTCCATGGAGGTTAATGGAAATTTCCAGTATTAACTTGGCTGTTACAGCAGGTTTCAAAATAATAGTCATTTAATTTTTGCACTTCTCAGAAAACGTATTGTTGGTATTTCAAAACCCCACACCTTTTGAACTAGTAGCAATGGATAAGGAACCGAAATCACTTGACCCTGCTTCTTAAAAAAAAAGAAGATGTCTTCCAAACGAGAGAACCAATTCTTAGATGCAAAGCAGCAATGGATAGTTAACCGACATCACTTTTCAATGAGGTAATACTCGACCCTTAATATCCAATCAAAAAAATTTGTGATGACAGCGTTTGTAGTTCGTTTCGGAATCCTACTTATACAAACTTGTTTGTATTGTCGCGGACGGTTATTTCCCTGGCAATTCTGCCATGCGGTTCGTTTTCGATGTATACCTATATACCTATCATGGTTTGCCACCCGACAAACAAAAGCTCCGAATTCGCCACGAGTAACACTGACCAAACCGCACCGGAAACGAATGATACACAGGTGAAAAAAGCAGCGCAAAATGTTATTGTCTCTTACCTTATTAGTCGACGACGAGGTGTGGTAGTTGTACGACCTGGAGGACTTGTTGGCTTCCGAAGCCGTCTTGATGGGGGTCTTATTTGGGCCGCTGGTGGGGTCGGCGTTCTTCGTCACCTCCAGACTTTCCGGCACGGTCTGAAGGGTGGAACGCATAGCTGCCGACATCGTCCCCACGCACTATCGCACTGGCCAGTTCACATTACCTGAAAAAATGCACAGAATCTAAGTATATGTTTCAGCCTTTTTTCGGAAAGTACAAAAAAATTGTAGTACAAATATTTAAGGTTGCCGTCTAATCGGGTTCGACAAAATAGTCCTCCAGAAGAGGATGAATATTCAGCTTAGTTTTCAATCGTCTCTGAGGGATTTGTGATTTTGTCTCAGCCGCTGAACACGTTCATAAGTAATAAAAAGGGTGAATTTACTTAATTCGAAAAAGAGTTATTTGAAAACAGAAAGTTCTTGAAGATATTTGTTCGAATACCCATAGTTCAATGATAGCTAATAGATATAGTTTAAAAAAAACTGAAAAACATGCTTTTTAAAGAACATCGAACTAAAAAGTTGAAAATATTTTTTTTAAATATGCTTAAAACAATAACGATCGAAAAATACTAGTATTATTGTGAAAAAAGCGCCCTCGCTCTATTGTTTCAAGTTTATTTAAAAAAATATTTTAAACTTTTTAGTTCGATGTTTTTCAAGAGCGTGATTTTTAGTTTTTCAAAACTATATTTATTTTGAACTTGATCCAGGATGGCCTGAAATGTTACAGAATACTCTCGAATGCTCTGAGCTGTTCTAGAACTATCTTGAGGATGAAACTTTGATTGATTATATACTTTATTGTCCAAAAAAAATCTTGTCGATAAAGCTACTGCCAGAGGCTATCTTCCACCCGTCCCATAATTAAGAAAAAAAAATAAGAAAAAGTAAGACTATAAGTAACAGTTACAATAGACACAAAAATAATATACATAAAAAAACTATTATGGAATTAATATAAAAGACAAGCCCGGATTTTATTCACTTGTATCAATTATTATTTTGTCAATAGTTATCGAGTATTACTATTTTTACCATAAAGGACTCCTTCGATCAGAACATGGTTAGCGAAGTGTGCGCTAACTTCATCAATTTTTCATACTATATTCGGACAGTATTCGCTCCACCTGTGGTTGAAAACTCGATGACTTCTATTGTCAACGCGACTTGGAGTGAGAAATGGAAGTTCTAATAAATTAGTCAATGGATTCAATAACTCGTGGGAACGACAATGTATATCATCAATACATTGCCAAATTGCAAAATGCGAATTGCCAAAAATGATAATTTAACATTTATATGCATCAGACTCTCAAGAAACTCGAGGAAGCCCCTGCAACTGGTTTCAGGAATCTTCTATAATAGACCAAGGTGTAGAAGACACGATTTTGTCAGGAATGTGGAGATCAGCTCCTTGGATAAGCCCATGTACATACTAATTCATACTGACAAACATCCATTACCACGAAGTGTGCATATATCATAAAAACCTCATTAACATATACTTTTTTCAACTCTTTTAGACCTAGAGAAAGTAAAACTCGTTGATGAGCTGTACTTTCATTTACCTACGTCACATCTAATCAAACTGAACGAAAAGTGGTCGAATCTGATTTCAAGACCTTCTAAATAACAACAATATGTAATTCCGGAAAGACTTATTCAATAATTAATTATGAAATCTATCACACTCATCAACCTACAGGCAACAAAAACGAAATAGTCGACTGAATGTATGCAACCAGTTAAACAGTAGTGTGTTAATTATGTTATCTATATCTTTACATAAATCCTATACTGATATCAGGAATAATTTGCAAATNAAGAGGATGAATATTCAGCTTAGTTTTCAATCGTCTCTGAGGGATTTGTGATTTTATCTCAGCCGCTGAACACGTTCATAAGTAATAAAAAGGGTGAATTTACTTAATTCGAAAAAGAGTTATTTGAAAACAGAAAGTTCTTGAAGATATTTGTTCGAATACCCATAGTTCAATGATAGCTAATAGATATAGTTTAAAAAAAACTGAAAAACATGCTTTTTAAAGAACATCGAACTAAAAAGTTGAAAATATTTTTTTTAAATATGCTTAAAACAATAACGATCGAAAAATACTAGTATTATTGTGAAAAAAGCGCCCTCGCTCTATTGTTTCAAGTTTATTTAAAAAAATATTTTAAACTTTTTAGTTCGATGTTTTTCAAGAGCGTGATTTTTAGTTTTTCAAAACTATATTTATTTTGAACTTGATCCAGGATGGCCTGAAATGTTACAGAATACTCTCGAATGCTCTGAGCTGTTCTAGAACTATCTTGAGGATGAAACTTTGATTGATTATATACTTTATTGTCCAAAAAAAATCTTGTCGATAAAGCTACTAAATAAGTATGAAATAAAATAAGTAAATGTCCTATGAATATAAAAATATACATAAAATATAATGTAGAATAAACTAAAGTATAAACTACACTGAATAAAAAACAAAAAACAATGGTGGAAACATACATACACATAAAACATGCTAGGTTAAAAATTATTGGTATAGAACTCAGTCAAACTATACTAGGGTTCACTGCTAAAAACTTCTTTAATTATTTTTCTGTATTGATTGGTATCAATATTTATCTTTTTCGAGTAACTCGGCAGATGGTTATACGTCTTCACACCATTGTAAAATAAAGAGGCCTTGACCAGAGAGTTGCAATTTTAAATGGGTTTGTTTGCACTGACGAGTTATATAGTGATAGGTGGCAACCTCAAGTTTCACCAAACACACTGTCTCCAGAATAAAAAGAGCTACAACCGTCAATATTTTTTTTATGTACAAACAGTTCCCTGCATGAGTCACGAGGTTTAGCTTTGCACAAGTATTATATAGCTCTCTTCTGTAATACAAGTACAGACTTCAGCAAATTAAGGCTACATACACCCCAAAAAGTTATACCGTACCTTAGTGAGACTCTACCAAAGCTTGTTATGCTGTTTTTGCAGTATAAACTCACAGTTCTCTAGCAATAACACTCACTGCATAACAGCCGGTGGAAATTATGCTTTTCATCTTTCTGATGTGAGTGTCAAATTTCAGTCTACTGACTATATACAATTCCAGAAATTTAGTACAATCCGTTTTCAGTGATACCAGTCGCTACAGATAAATTCTGAAGTGAATATTTGAAACTCATAATATTTGTTTTGGAAATATCAAAAGAAAGTAGATTGGAGTCACACCAAGACATACTTTTTTGTATATCACTACTGAATATATTAACAATTTTAATTTTGGCATTAGTAATTTTCTAACAATTTGTTGAATATATCGGAATATCAAGTAGAGTGGAGCATGTTTCTAATCAGACTGGCTTTATTTATGTAAAAATTTGGCATGTGTCAAATTTTGATATGAATCTAGGAAATATCTCATTGCATTTTTGATATATTTCAATGTTCCACTTCTCTCATCGCTTCTGTATGTTCAGAACATAGAATTTCTCAATTCTGCATTACAGTGAGAAACAAATTTCCTTGGTGATATGATAACCTAAGGCAGCTATAAATTGTTGCATGTCAAATTGAAACGGTGCAGTTTCCATGTTGAATACGTGATGTCGATGATAAGCGCGCAACATCTACTTAGGCCATGAAAACGTTTGCCGGCGTTTCCATGACAACCAAACAATGTACAATGATTACACAACACAACAAAGTTTTTGTTTCGGGGTTGAAATTAGATGATTTTAATGTATTTCCACGTGTTAAAACCGAAAGTGACCATAAAAATTATATATTAGCTCTTGTTTTCAAGATATAGTATCATTATATTATATATATGTATATTGAGTTTTCAACAAATGAAATATTTCATCACCAACAGTTGGTACACATGTTTGTTTACATAACACCCCNCCAAATGTTAGTTCCATTAATACAGGAAATGCTGGAATATACATGATTTGTCACAATTGTACAATTAATTATAATTTCAAATAATTGTCAACCGTATTCCCAATGTTCAATTTCCTACTTCTAGTTGATAATTAAGTTAACAAAAGTTTCTATGAATATCTTTAAAATTATAGAATTGTTCTCATTATTTACCTAGGTGTTTTTTTATTATCATTTTTTACCAAGGGTGAGAAATATTAATTCTCGTTAGGGGAATGGGGTAAATAATAGCAATTTCTCAGGTTAGTAGTGAAAAAAAGATCATATATGTTTTGCTACTCGTACGAAGCTATGTCAGGTCGCTAGTTTTAGACTACTAAAAGTGAAAACTGACTTTATTTCGTACGTGTCATGAAAATTCTATATTTAGGTTAGGTTAGGTCAAAAGTGAGGCTCACGCCTATTTATACTCGACAAAATAAACCCAGCTTCTTGACGAAGCCAATTAGTTTATACAGTGAGTGTTTGAAGTGTGGTTCTACCAAACTCTGAAAATCTGATTCGGTCCGCAGCAGGGCAAGCACAAAGTATATGCTCTGCGGTTTCATCATTTTCCAAACAGAGGCGACACACACTGTCTTCCGACAGTCCTAGTCTCTGCATATGATGATTCAGACGACAGTGACCTGTAAGGAGACCTGTTAGACATCGTATTTCATCCCTACTGTAGTCTAACAACTGTTTGGTTTCAAGCTTCGAAGAGTGAATGAACGCCTTGGAGTGAGCCAACCCTGGAAGCGTTTGCCAGAAGTATTTTAAATCTTCTTTGTCATCCAGGTGTGCAATGTTTGTTTGGCAAAACCTAAAGCAATCCCAATGACATGTTCTGGTCCGATGAAGCTACTTGCAGCACCCTCCTTCTAGGTCAGTGTGGCCAGGAATCCAGACCAGAGACAATTTGCTACCAACTTGAACGTTGCTCGGTATGAGCCAAGAGCTTCCAATGTCGCTTGACTGTCCGAAAAAATTGTATATTTAGAGGAAAATCTCAGAAGACAGTAAAATTCATCTTCGATAATGAAACTCATCTCGATAATTATTATAATGAATGATGTATGACTTCTGCCCATCTTTTCTCAGCAATTTCATAGAACCCTTTGTGGATCCTAAAGTAACCAAAGAATCCATCGCCCGACTTTTTCATAAGATTCTGCTTTGTACCAAATTCTTGAGTAGCAAAAGAAGAATCTGCATCAGGAGAGAAAACCAACACTA